GTCTACGTCGAGCAACATTTCGTGAGACAGACGAGACATCTGGACCAAGTCAACGGTTGAGGCTTCTACAATTAGCGCAACCTCGACCTTGCCATGTGGGTCGGCGTGCACGTCTCGATCTCGACACCAGAGTCGTCGTCGTCGTCTCCCTCCGAGTCCCCCGACCCTATCTTGTCGCCCTTCTGTTTGGCAAGGAGTTCCTTCAGGAAAGATCTTGCCGCAACCATTGGGCGGTTGGCCTGCAAATCCGGGCGTGGAACGTTGTGGCAAAATCGGGGAGCATGTGACCAACACAATGTCCTCGGAGACGGATGTAGTGTCTGATACCGCTGCCACCGCGAAACGTGTCTAAACTCTTCCTGTGTCCATACGACATGCGACTTCATTTGGTACTCAGTTTTGCACCGAGCAGGCGGGAGTCGAACCTTTAGAGGATGGCTGTAGATGCGGGTGCCATATCGGTTGTTGTGGAGCGCCGATATGCTTATGACCGACGTACAACTAAACAGCTTGGGCGAGGTATGGATCAAGGGGCGGCCCACAACGACGGTCATGGAAGCGGTTCACTTTTGTCAAATAGTGTGGGTGATTGCGCAAAAGCCACATCAACAACGACCTTGGCTCGTTTGAAACTGAATCGACAAGCCGCCGAGGCAAAAGCCACATCAGCTGCTGCGAGGGCTCAATCCAGGGAGAAAGACAGACAGAACCAACCAGTTTCCGCCAAGTAAGCGAGGCAGATAAAATGTCGCAAATGTCATCGAAGCACTCCCCTGGAGTATTTCCAAGCAACGCACAAATGAGTACTTCCGTGGTAATATTGCTCTTGTCGTAAATACTCCCCACTCGAGTGGGATTTCCTAACAACGTACCAATGACGTGCACGTTACTCCGTTCGCTCTAGGCATTCGTACGCCCCCACGGCAACCAACCTGCCTGCACCAGCCTTCGACCACCCTGAAAGAATCTTGGACGGGCAAGATCACCCTTCGTTGACGGAAAACGTGTTCGGCACTTCGATGCTGTTCAAGTCTATTGCTGACTTCGATCAACATATGACCGAAAACGTACACAGGTGGAGTTGTTTACCATATATTGTATTTGTCCTGAAATGTCCTCCCGTTACTCCCAACAGACCATTTCATTCGACATCCGCCCCCGATCAATTACCCACATCTCGACACCTCTCCTGCAACTCTTTCCGGTAATTACTGCCGGCCGCATTTCTTTTCCCAGCACTTCGTGTGCCGTTGTGACTGCCTGTGCCGACGCGATGACATAACCATGGTATCAGCCCAGTTCACAATCATTCTTTTTTGGGCGCGGGGGGAAATTTGACCGCTCACCCCGAGATTATGGCCAACTCCAAGAACTACCCTGGGGACACGACAAGCTGTCTCGATGGACGGGTTGAGCTAGCAGCGGCTAGTCCTGTCAGGACGAGTGGGATAGTTTTCGCTTTAGAGCAGTTCAACGTCGGCTCCATACCTGGGTCCGCGCAAAGAATGACGAAGCGCACCCTCACTTTCTTTTGGCAAAATGTTCACAGCGTTGAATCTGCCCTACAGCCTTGCGCCTTAGACATCGCCGGGTTGAAGACTCGCGCCTTTGTCGGCGCGCGCCCGACCTTCGACGGCGCAACTGAGGAAGATTTTTGGAGCGAGACATCAAAGAATACGCGATCTTATGAGCTTTCAGCGAGACTCGTCTAACCGACTGCCAGGCAAACATATCCTTTTTCACCGTGCGACGATGTCTCAAGAAACTTGAGACTTTTCCACAAGACGGATCGGTTCCACAACAGATTTGGAAATCTCTCATTGCCACGTCTGACCCTGACCAGACACGACAGAAAACACGGCCAACTAATGTCCCCGACAACCGCAAAACTGAAGTACCTGGTACGACTGGCGATAGTCTTGACGACATTGACACCGACGGTGCATTCGTCGTCGACAGCATTGAATCATACCGCCAGGTAAAGACACCTCTGAGGAGGGAAGGCCGGACCCCTTGAGGGCCCTAGGCGCAACCTTGGTCCCCCCAAACATCAGCCTTGCGAAGAGGGCCGCGGCGACAGACGAAGCTGCGGCCGGATGGCCTCCTGCACACCCAACAGGAATATTCATGTCATTCCCCACACCGAAAATATGGTTGAGGACTTGCGCGAGCCTGGAACAATGATTGCGGCGTATTTCCATCCGCACGCCGTGGGTGGACCACCGGACAAACGCGCTCGAACTCTTTTCTTCAACAGGTGGGCCAAAAGTATCTTTCGACGCCGCGATTCCCGGTGCAGGAAGAGCAGGACTTTCGTTTTCTGTTTGGCAGCCATCATATTTCGCAGAGAAGCCATTTCCAATTCTCACTTGAAACTAAGCGGAAGGGTATCGCGCGGGGTAGCGAGCACACTGGCCGGCTTTGCGCCAGAAGATCTGCGCGATGCCGCGAGAGAGATGGAAGGTGGTTTTTCAGCTGCCAAATCTCTTGCTAATCCTCCCGCATACCACAAGCTCATCCTGACCATACAATCCGTCGACAGCGTTGCTACCTGGACGATCTCCATGATCACGCAGCTAGGGTAACCCCTATTCCGAATGACCATCACCTCGAATGACAAATCTTCTCCTTTTGGCATGAAGCTGGTGTGGTTCTCGACGTGTATAGTATAGGCGAAGGCAGACCTTCCATCGTATGTCAAAAGGACACGAAAAATCGCCAAGGGTCCGTTGCATGCGCGGATGTTTTCCACACCACAATTGACGCGGCCGTGAAATTTCTTCTTCGATTTGGAGAAGGACGGAAACGGTGGCGTTCTCGGCAGGGGCAAGACTTATGTTGGCATGGCGGAAGAACAGAAGCGCTTGACTCTTCATTGTCACCTGCTCTTATGGTGTGTCGGATACCAACATTTTTCGAGTTTACGAGAAACGAAACACAACACTCCGGACAGCCACCAGCAACTGGCCAGTTTCTTGAGCTGACTATCTTCCCGCAGGTTGCGTCAGAAGCAGATGTTGAACACGCGTATCGAGGCGACACGGAACCAACAGGAGCGGAAGAAGATCACGTGCCGCCCAGCCAAACCCTGTCGAGCTGCCAGCAACGGAGTGCATTGCCGTACTGCCACCGTGTGCTTGCTTCCAACCGCCCCAGATCGAGCGCGACGTTGTCGCGGAGAAAAGAGTACTTCCGCCCCTTCAACCGGACGTGGCGAATGTTGCCTGCAAGATATAGTCTACACCCACACCTGAACCTTCACCTGCCACAAGTTTGATCACACCAACTCGTGCAGGTATGCTGACCTTCTGACCATTTTGCTACAAGTGTCGTTCCCGTCCATCTCCATGTCGTCCATTGTGCACGCCTCGTTCTCATCCATCTGAGAGCGCTACGTGCGCCCTTTCTCCCTCTGTCAAACATGCCCCCATCGGTTCTCATCAGGTTGATTTCGACAATGGTGGAAAACCCCTTGTATATCGGACCAGCGTTCAACGCGGCTTCCCGACGGAATATCCTAACGGCGACAGCTTTTTGGAGATGTCTTGTACTCTGCTCCCGAATGCGAAGCAACCGTTGCTGCCGCCGCTGCCGCCGCTGCCGCCGATGCCGCCGATGCACAAGAAAAAGAAGGCAGACAGCTGTTCCACAGAGACGCCGAACAAGTCTCGAGCGGTAACGGTGACTCCAAGACGGTGGCCAACCGATTCATCGCCGACCGTCGTCGGGAACAGCCGATGATCAACTGCTACAACACCATCATTCAGTATTGCATCCGGAGCGACATGGACATCAAGGTCCTACTTCGCGACAGCGATACGCGAGCGTGCTTATACATTCTCAATTTCACCACCAAGCCGAACGTGGATGCGATCCTCAACGTCTTGGCTCCTGTGATGAAACACATCAAAACGAAACGGATTGAGCCCCGCAAGCTGTCGTTGTTGCAGCTGCGCTTGTTAGATGGTTCTCGTGCAACTGCCGCAGCCAGCAAAGTCCTAAAGGACAGCAACGTCAAGTGTTCGACGGAGACAACAAACTGTACCATATGGCCCATGCTCAGAGAGGCATCAGCGGCGTTTGATGTCGCCACTCCCACTCCTGCATCTATTATAACTAGGGTATAGGCGGCCGCCCGCTGATGGGGCGGGACGGTCACCCGGAGGCAAAATCTTTGTCATTATGTTATTCGCCGTGCGTTGGCCGAGACGGACACGGCGCCCACGAATTAAGCGGAGAAGGTCGTAATTTTCATGTATTCTCAAACTCCGGAACAATTACTTAAGCAAATATTATTTCGCAACAAATACTTTTTTTGGCGCCCCTAAATAGAATGTCGGCACCATCGCACTGGGAAAATACGAAAATGACGTACGCTGTAAGGAGAAGTCGGAATGAACGCGGAATATCGGAAACAACGTGCATGAACAAAAGACACCGCAGCAGAAACCAATGGCACGTGGAAGTTAATTTCCAGGTATTGGTCGGACCATGGTTCGACCATGTTCGTTCCAGAAAATGAGCTACACGCAAAATGCAGCCTACTGCTATTAGACTACATATATATAATCCAGACTATGTATGGGTCTGATACGTGCTGCCGAACTACAGAACACCGCACATACATCATGTACACACGCCAATACTGTGTGTGTGGTACGACTGAAAACTACTGTACGTTATTGACGGTCCAACTTGCTGTTTTTCGCCACCCTGAATGTTTGGTCCGTCCGGTAGACGTAGCAGAAGAAATCAATACAGTATTATGTTATATGCTCACAGAAAAAAGGAGAAATGAATATCCGGGCAACGATCGGACCATGATCCGGCCATGTTTCAGAACATGACTTGACCGCAAAATGCAACGCGCTGACTACTAACCACCAACCTTGGTTACTGCAAGTGTTGTAAAAATAATACTGTATCAATATCCCTCTAGTTAAAGGCAATATACTCACACCTTTACTCCCCTGTATGTTTCTGTGGCCACAAAAGGCTATCGCCAGGTTCCAACCTGGACGCGAGCCTGCTTTCTTTTCCGGGTGATGTTCTCAAAGCCCACCCCGGAAAGCAACCTGGCTGGGTCGTCACGAGCCCTCCGTACAAGGGTGCTGTGGGGTTTGTCAAAGCGGCTTTGGCGGTAGCGGCGAAAGGCGTGGCGCTCAAATTGCCGCTATCGTTCCTGGAACCCCTTTCGACCGGGGTAGCTGGCTTGTAGATAACCCCCCGGTTATGTGCGTTTTTTTGCGGAGAGCTAAGTACACACATGCTCACCATGTGAAGGTCGGAGAATTTTGGGGCGTGTGTTACACCGATGGAGGCTGCGGCAAGAGCGGGGGATCGAGGCTCGTGTTCTGCCTTGAGTAGAGGTTGCTTATAGGAGGGCCGCCGGGCGACCTGACGTTCAAAGAATGTTGTTTGTCGGTGGCGTTGATTGAGTGCAGAATGGTCTATATCTGCGTGTTCCACGAAGGGTGCAAATTTTCGCGCTCCATAAAAAAACTTCGAACATAGACTCAAAACCGCCCGCGGTTCAGTCACCACACGGACTTTTGCTGGTTGAATATTGTTGTGGAAGTGCATCGCAGCTTCGCCTACACAGGTACACCATGCCGTTAGTTGAGTGTACAGCAGTTCTGATTCTGCGGGTGCTGAATGGTACGATGCAAGATAGAGTGCGGGTGTTCCATGTACCCGCTGTTGACGTTGGCGGGTAGGTGCACCCCGTGAGCAAGAGGTGTATGACAACACGGTACTCATCCTCAACTTCACATGAATCGATGTAGACCATTTGCGACACCTCCGATATTCCGCTCGAAACACCAAAATTCCAGTTTTTTTTTTTTTCATCACACGTTACACAGACCTTTCATTTGTCCCCTCCCCGCACGAGTCAACAACCATTCCGCCCGGTGAAACAATCAACTGCTCTCGGCCATTGGTCCAATCCATCTGGTCGAGCTGCTCGTACTCTGCAACGTCATCCTGAAATCCACCAATGGTCATGCCCCCGCCCAAACCGCCGACACCAGGCAAAACGTCACACTCATCACTGGATTGATCGTCGTCGCTCGCTTCTTCAGATGATTCCCCCCCACCTCTATCGAATAGCATGACTCTATCATTGGCCGCTTTTAGGCAGCAAGCGGGTTTACATTTGCACAGCTCTGAGCAAATTGACCCTTTCTGGATGCAGACGCATGTCGTACATTGACCCTTTCCCGGCACACCCGAACATGTACACTTGACCGTCTCGACCCCGCCCGGCCAGATAGTAACCTTCGGCTCCCTGCGCAACAACATCATACAACCACCGTCTACTGCTGAGTTCTTCAAGTACCCCTTGTCGTGCCATTCGGGAACTGAAATGGGGTAATTTTCTGAGGCTCCCGAGCCTGCAGCACTAACCGGCACAATCGAGAGCCAATACTCTACTAGCCATTCCATCCGAAGGGCGCAGAGGTCGAGAACGTCATAGTTAGGGGCAGCACCACTCACTTGCCCTTTCCCGAAAGCCGACTCGGATGTGCGTTTGTGGACGGCAGCAACCCACGCACTTGTTTCATCAACCGCCCCTCCTCGTTGCTCGGGATCAACAGTTGGATCTACCTGGTGCCCGGGTGGATATGAAAATAGCGCCTGGTGCTTTTTAAAGAAAGCGAGGGCGGCAAACTTGATCAACTCTTCCCTTTCCAAAGCCATCCCGGCAACAGCTCCATCTTTTACTGCATTCCCGCCCAGGGCCTTTGGAAACCGATGGTTCTCTGGGTTAGTGATATAGTCGTAATACGACGTGAACATAAAGTACAAGTCAACCCGAAAAATGTCGGGGTGAAGTCGGTTCCGAAAAAAATGTCGGGGTGGTACCGCTTGCCGCGGATGATTCGGCATTTGCGGAGGGTGCGGCCGCAACGGGCGCGATGGCGTCGATAAGTGCGCCTCCGACGAGACGTGCGGCGATGAGGGGCGTTGGCCTGCGACGTGATTCGAAAAATAGGATTGATATCTTGCTAAGTCGGTAATGTAGGACATACAGTATGGGGAGAACGAACTATGGGTGGGGGGAAGTGCTTGGTTCGCAAACGCACAGCTCTCGACTGTTTTCCGTGCCAAAAACGGCCCTACCTTATACAACTCAATGGAGAGCCCGGAGATCTGTAACAAGACTCTGGCTACACGTCTCCATATAGCAGAGGCAGCCAATCTATTTTTTTCGCTACACATCTATTTACCGGACTGGAGGTCGCATGCCGAGCACTTGTGCCGTCGTTGTCGCTGCCGTCGGGTGTCGTCTCCTCCGACTCGCTGTCATCGTCGGTAATGTCTTGGTCTCCGTGCTGGTCGGTGGCGCCCGAGGCGCCTCGCTACGACCACAGGCACGTGAAGAAACAACCCACTGTGAGCCTTGTAGTCAAATTGAGTTAATAGGACATCGGACATCGCATAATGGTCTGTGGTCACGATCTGTGGTCATTTACTGGCGATGATCGACATAGTTTCAAACGCGGAGAAGTTTTTCTCACCGGGCGTGTCTTGTCCGCCGTTTCGACGCGGCCAAACGGAGCAGTCGCGATGCGACCGATCACGCCTCCAACTCCACTGAAAACGTCCAAACCGCCGTGCGAATCATCTCGACCCCCCTGCGAACGAAGCCGTGCGGAGCAGTAGAGCCAACCCTAACCGTGTTCTCCTCCGTCTCCATCCCAGTCCCCACCCCCGACCCCACGTGTGCTCCCGCCGCGTCCTCCATGGCCTCGTCCGTCTCCTTCCTCTCGCCATCTCCTTTCCCCACGTCGTCTGCCTCTTCCCCGCAATCCAGCGAGGTGAAAATGTTGCCGGTACATATCAAAGTTGGCTAATAGGCTCGAGCCCTGTACGGAAACAACAACAAACGCTTCCCATCAGAACATTTTTCGATTCTATTCACGCGCAGCATTACATGTTTGGCCTGTCGACATTGAAAAGCTTACGTAAATCGTACACACCTTGTCGATGGCCCCGCTTCTCTCGACGCGCCCATCCATGCCGCCGCCACCACCACCACCACCACCACCACCACCACCCGCGGTCGTTGGGCGCCTATTTTTTCCCGCGAGAACCCAGCCGTCTCCACCCTCCTTGGCTGCGGCCGGCTTCCTCGCGGCGGCGGGCTCCTTCACTGCGATGGACTCCTTGGCTGCGGCGGGTTCCTCGGGGGCGGCGGGTTCCTCCGGGGCGGCAGGTTCCTTCGCTGTGACAGACTCCTTGGCTGCGGCGGGCTCCGTGGCTGCGGTGGGCTCCTCGGGGGCGGCCGCCTCCTCCCGGGCGGTGGGCTCCTTTGCTGCCGGCTGCGGTACGTCCTGGAACACGGCCTCGAAGTGCCCAGATGCGTGCCATACTGCCATCGGGGAATGTGGCTGCAGGTCCTTCGCACCGTAGCACGGAACGAGTTTTCCCTCTTTCGTCGCCTTCACGAGTCTGAAGTTTTCTAGACCTGATACGACAGCCGCGGCCTCCATGTATTTCCCGTCCCAATATCCACCTTCATGTTCCGCCACCATGACCCATGTCTCCCTCTTCAAGATGAGTAGGAGAGGGTTGGTCAACATTTCTTCGATGGGGCTCTCCTGTACTTTGGCGGTGCCAAAGGTGAAGTCGTCAGTAAATTGCCCACGCTCCACTGTGGGGTGGATCTGTGCCCGCCCGAGGCTGGCTACGTCGCGGCGAAGCTTGCGGATGCTGGCGAGTTGTTCCCGTTCCACGCGGGCTGTTCCGGCGGGAACCCCGGACTTGATCCGACGAAGATCGGTGATGGTGTGCGAACCACAATCCCCCCCGCCAGGGTTGGGCCACGCTCTAAAGGGCGTGCCATCCCTTAGGCGATACATTGTTCACCTGACATTTTACAACAAAAAAAATGAGAACGGGGTGTGTACATACCAGCTAAAATACCAGCTCCACGTCGAAATATGTACTTCGAAGTATGTAATTTTGTGTCTGAAATATGTACCTGGTATGTAATTTCGCTGTAGTGTACTTACCTTGACCGATGCAACAAAGCTAGCCCACACTACCATTGGAGGTTGTCATGTGGACGGCCGTGGAACGGCAGAACTAAAAAATGAATGTGCATGATTGATTTCGTCATGCCGCCAAAAATATTTACACACCCATGTCTGTACGAGAGAGAGAGAAAAGGTGCCCGCAGTTTTCTGATTGGTCAACTTATGTGGTAGTGTTTTTTCACGAAT